CGGGGATGTGGATGGGGTTGGGGCAGTCAGGGGACAGGGGGTTGGATAGGGGGTGGGGTCCTGGGGAGGCGGATAGGGATGAGGGGTCCCGGGAGGGTGTGGTCAGGGGACAAGGAGCAGGGGGGGTTGGATGGGTCGGGGGTTCTGAGGGGGGCAGTCAGGGGGCGGGAAGTGGGAGGGGCGGATATGGGTGGGGGCCAGGCTGTTTGGGGAAGCACAGCCTTCCCTACCAGGCCCTCCATACAGTTTCGCAACCCCGATGTGGCCCTCGGGCCACCCCTGCCGTACACACTAGAGCACAGGGAGGAGAGCTGAGCTCAGTGCAGTGGTTACGCAGCTCCTGAACAGACCCCTCCCTTACAGAGTAAAACCACAGCAGGGTTCTTCATGTGCACGGAGGAGGGGGTAAAATTTACCCCAAGTGAAAATTAGTTTGGTGTGTTCTCATCCTAGCCCTAGGAGAGGATTATCGACATCATAAAATCACCAGGCCTTCTGACATACTCAACACTCCCTAATTAACACAAAACTGGAAGAATAAAGCATTGCAACTTGAAAAAAGGTGCATGGAACGGAGTCACATGAGTACTGAATGTGAAAATCTTACAGTAAGGTTTCAGACATATACAATATGAACTATCAATTACTGTTCAGCTCCAGTTATGCTACTGTACCTGTCTGTTACATCCATTTCAGAGTCAATCTTGTTCAGTCCTTTCATGATGTTATCAAACTGTTCACCCTGATAGTGGAGCACCTTTGTTGTATCCTCCATACGTTTCTGGGATGCAGACAGTAAACCAGTCAGTTCTTTCCCTTTCGTCGTGTGCAGAGAATCTGCCTGAGCTCCAGCCCCTGGACACGACAGCAGCTGCTCCCTCCAGAAGTGCTCCAGGATGTTGAAGACCACATTTCTGTTGGGCTGGAGGGAACTGAACCAGTGCTTGGTGTTTTCCTTCTCCAGAATTGTGAGGGAGCTGAATATTAAACTGGAGGACTCCTTCTTGATCTCACTGATGCTGGAAAGATGGAAGCTGACCAGAAGCTCTCCAGTCTTGTCAGCTGTAAACCTGACCACAATAGGAGTCAGTGAGAGTCTGCCAGAGACCCATCGTTTCTCAGTGTTTAAGTAATAGGAACAGGGCCACGCATGGATACATATGTCCACATTCATTAGTTCGCTGTTAGGATCCTCTTCTACAGTGATGTCACCTTCAAAGTGAGAAAAAGAAAACAAGTAAACAAAGCAGAAAAATACATCTGAGGTGATTCTTGTAAGTTAGGGTGCACAGATCTAGGATGTCCCCATAGGCTCCATACTGGTGGGTAACTGATCTGAGGCACCAGCCATCTTTCAATGTTGCCACTAGGTCATCTCAGATATGCAGGTAACCAAGGTTTGGCTGCTGTGAGCTTTAGGGGGTGGGATTGGCCACCTCTTCTGATCCATCTCCAATTTCACCTTGAAAAGACTCCTCTTTTTAAAAAAAAGGGTATTTTATTATTGTTTCCTCTGACAGCAACTCCAGCCTTAATAATAATAAT